TAAAACAAAATAACATTCAGCACAAGTACATTCTCTGAAGAGAAGGCATGCAGCTATAAAGCCAAATGTAGGAGGCTTTTCAGAGGATGCTGATAGTGAATCCAAGGCTGAGGAACTGCCAGCGGTATTAGACCTGTAACAGCCAGAATAAATCTGGCAACGTTGCACAGGCAACAGTTTTAATTTAAGATCAAAACCCTTTACATTCTGCAATAGCTTTCTGAACAATCTAAGTCACTTGGGGTTGACCTTTTCCATCAGCTGATAGATGGAGTTATTCCTGACACATAGGAAGATGGTCGTGGTTATTGGAGCTCCAGGACATCACTGCAGGAGTTCCTCATGCTTGTGTCCTAGGGCCAACCATCTTAAGCTGCGTCATCATAGACTTTTCCTCGATCACAAAGTCAGAAGTTGTTGATGGCTCACAATGTTCCACACCATTTGCAGCTCTTCAGATCATGAAGCAGTCCATTTCCAAATGAAGCAAGATATGGACAATATCCAAGCATGGGCTGAAAATTGGCAAGTAACACTCATGCCACACAAATGTGAGGCAAAGGCCATCTCCAACAAGACTGAATCTAACATCCTGCGATGTTCAATGGAGTCACCATCACTGAATCCCCCACCATCAACATTGAATGAAACTGAACTGGACCCACCACTTTAATTGGTGGCTACAAAGCAGGCCAGAGGCTACAAATCTTGCAGTGAGTAACTTACCTCCTGACTCACCAAAGTCTTATACAAGACACAAGTCAGAAATGTGACGGAATACTCCCCACTTGCCTGGGTGAATGCAGCTCCAAAAACACTCAAGAAGCTCGACACTGTCTGTGTCAAAGCAGCCCACATCCACAAACATCCACTCCTCCAGCACCGACACTCAGTAGCGGCAGGGTGTACTATCTACAAGATGCACTGGAGAAATTCATTAAACCTCCTCAGACAGCACCTTCCAAACCCACAACCATGACCATTTAGAAGGACAAGGGCAGCAGATACATGGGAGCAAAGCCAAGTCATTCCAAGTCATTCACCCTCCTGACTTGGAAACACATTGTCATTTCTTCAGTGTTGCTGGTGTCAAAATCCTGGAATTCTCTCCCATTTGGCATTGTGGGTGCACCTGCAGCAAAAGGACTGTAATGGTGCTCACTGCCATCTTCTCACGGGCAACGAGGGACAGTTAAAAAACATTGGCCCATCCAGTGACAACCATTATGCACGACTTAAGTAAAAAGGTATAGGACAAACAAAACAAGGGAACATATGATGAATGGTAGGACTTTGGGAAGCATTGAGGATCAATGGTGTACATGTCAACCGGTCCCTTCAGGTGTCAGTGGTTAAGTAGGCTTATGGTATACTTGCCTTTATTGGTCGAGGCAGAGAGTTTAAGAGCAGCAGGGTGATGCTGGAACTGTATAAAATGTTGGTTAGACCACGACTAGAGTATTGTGAGTAGTTTTGGAATGCACATTTCCAGGGGATGTGATAGCACTGGAGAGGTTGCAGAGGAGATTGATCAGGCTGTTACCTGGGCTGGAGATATTCTGTTATGAAAAGAAATTGAACAGACTGGGATTGTTTTCCTTAGACCAGAGGAGATTGAGAGGGGACATGATTGAGACGTACAAAATATAGAGGGTCATAGATAGAGTAGACAGGAAGAAACCTTTCCCCTTGTTTTTTAGATGAATGAGGCATAGATTTAAAGTAACAGCAGAGGTTTATAGGAGATGTAAGGAAAAATCTTTTTCGCTCAGAGGGTGGTGGGAACCTGGAACTCACTGCTTGTATGGGTGTGTAGAGGGAGAAGGCCTCATATCATTAATGAAGTATTTATATGTACACTTGCAATGCACAGCAAACAAAGTTATGGGTCAAGTGCTAGAAACTGGGATTGGAATTGTTAGGTGGTTGTTTTTGACCTGTGTGGACACAATAGGCCTTTTTCTGTTCTGTAGATTTCTGTGCTCTATAACTGTCTGCAAATTTAGAAATCATGTTCCATTTCCAAGTCATTAATATATATGAAAGAGAGCAGTCGCCCTCGTACTGAACGTTCGAGAACTCCATCAAAATTCTTCTGCAAATTTCTGAAGAAGGGTCCAGACCCGAACCGTCAGCTTTCCTGCTCCTCTGATGCTGCCTGGCCTGCTGTGTTCCTCCAGCTCCACACTGTGTTGTCTCTGACTCCAGCATCGGCAGTTTCTACTGTCTCATTTATAATCAATTCTATGTTTTATCACTGTCAATTTTACATCCAAGTTGCCACGGCCTTTTTTTATTCCATGAGTTTCCATTTTGCAAATAAGCCTTATATGTGTACCCTATCAAATGTCCTTTGAAAGATCATGCACATAATATCAATGGCCCTACCTTTATCCATTCTTTTTGTTATCTCAACCAAAAAAAAACTCATTAAGGTTTGACAATTGAAATTTGTCCATAAGAAGTCCATACTAATTCTGTTTTATTAGTCCATGTTTGTCTGAGTGGCTGTTACTTTTCTCCAGGTCATCGTTTCTAAAAGCTGCCCTGCCATTTACATTAAATTGATTGGCCTATAATTCACAGGTTGATCCTTTCCTCTTTCTCTGAAGGAGGATGCAACATTATAGTTATCCAGTCCTTTGGTATGACCCCCTATATCTAAGCAGGATTGGAAGTATTCTACCCTTGTATTCCACAGCAACTAATGATAGATCAGTGGCTGGGTGTCTTCCCTATGTTAAGGTCTACCAGCCTGCCTAGTACCTACTCCTTAGCTACTTTTACCTGATCCAAATTCTGGGCATTATCACATTTGCCAAACATTCAGCAAATGTGTCCTTCTTTATAAATATTGATGTCAAATGCAGATTTAGTACCTCAACCAAACCAGCTGGCTCCAGCAATAGATCTCCATTTTTGACAAAATCAACCCTTCATCTTCTGACTACTCTATTATTTCTAACATACGAATAAAAGACCTTTATAACCCCTTTATTGTTAGTTGGCAGTCTATTCCTGAACCGTCTCTTTGCCTTCTAATTTTCTTTTCCAGTTGTTCTTTTGCCTTTTTATATATTTGTAATATCAAGCTGGCATCTGTCATATGCATCCTTTTACTGCTACATTCTATTCTCTGACTCCTTCATCCTATTTTTGAGCTCTGGCTTTAAGAATCTTGTGAACAATGTTGGGCCCCATACTAAAGAAGAATGTACTGGTATTGGATGGGGTCCCAAGGAGGTTTATAAGAATGATCCTGGGACGAAGAGCCTGTCGTATGAGGAGCAGTTGAGGATTCTGGGTCTGTACTCAATGGAGTTTAGAAGGATGGGTGAGGTAGTAAGCTCATTGAAACTCACAGAATATTGTGAGGTCTAGATAGAACGGATGTGGAGAAGATGTTTCCCTAGTAGGAGAGACTAGGAACCAAGGGCACAGCCTCAGTGTGAAGGGACAACATTTCAGAGCTAAGATGTGGAGAAACTTCTTCAGCCACACACTGGTGAATCTGTGGAACTTACTGCCACAGAGGGTTTGGAGGCCAAGTCATTGCGTGTATTTAAGACAGAGAGAGAGATAGGTTCTTGATTGGTTAGGGGATCAAAAGTTACTGGGAGAATGCAGGAGAATGAGTTCGAGAAACACATCAGCCATGATTGAATGGTGGAGTAGACTGGATGGGTCGAATAGCCTAATTTTACTGTGATATATTATGGTCTTTAGTGGCCATTCTGTACACCCCACCTTGTGGGAATGACCCTGCCCATCCCAAGTGACTGACTGACCGTGTCAATGTCCCTGGACTGATAACGCAAACTGGTCTTGACTTACTGCCTCTAGACCCTGTGACTGAAGGCTATCTCCCTTGACTGAGGACTACTTCCCTCAGACTTTGAGCCATGGTCATTTGCTGGAAGCACATGCAATGTCTTTGCCACGTATTCAGATCTCATATGGTGTAGGTGTGAGATTGAAGTCACACAGTGCCGTACTGCAACATTTCACTCCCCTTGACTGACAACTGCTGATGAACAGGACAAGCTGCTTGGCTTTGTACCTGCTCTAACAGGCGGGTAAAGACAGAAGAACTGTGAGCTCTGGAAGGGGTGAGAAAGCACAATAAGGCAAAGCAGGGCAGGGATGTTGTGAGGTGGGTGCTATGCAGCAGCATTCTGGTGAATGGTGCCAGTGCACCTCAAAGTGCATCTTGGAAGTGCAGAACCATCTTGCAAGTGGAGCAGAGGTTACTTTGAGGGCACTGTAAGGCTGGTATGTCTCTGATACCAACATCCATGCCTGGGTCCTGTGTTATCATTGTCCATGGAATGTGCTCTGACATTTTGGTGACTGGTGACCATGGCAAAGGTCTCGGTACAAACAACGAGCATCCTGACATTTACATCAGATGTTATCGGTGTCTAGTTTCCATCCAGAAGGTGGGAAAATGGTAAAGTGCATAAGAATAAGGCAAGATTAACGAATAAAGATGTTAATTCATAGAATCATACCAAAAAAGGTCCTTCAGCCCATGGAGTCTGCGCCAACTTATCTACACTAAGATAACAAGGTGTAGAGCTGGATGAACACAGCAGGCCAAGCAGCATCAGAGGAGCAGGAAAGCTCCTCTGATGTTGTTTGGTCTGCTGTGTTCATCCAACTCTACACCTTGTTATCTCAGATTCTCCAGCATCGGCAGTTCCTACTATCTACACTAATCTAATTTTCCTGCGAGTGCACGCAAATAGACCTCTTGTTGCTCAATAATGAGAATCTTGTCTTTCCATTCAATACTTGATTAAAAATTGGGACTTTTTGTTCTCAATGATGAGAAGCTCCCCACTGCCAAAGTAACGAGATTTTCCCAACTTTCTCACCAATGCCCATGTCATTCAATGCTCACTTAGATTCTGCCTATAGAAGCTTTGTGTGAATGCTGGGATGGCCAAATAAAGCACAGACTGCAACAAAATTGTTTTCTTGTGCCTTTGGCAACGTACCCCTTTCCGACTGGTTAGTCAAATTGAACCAGGTAAACCACATACTCAGTGTCATATTCAGCCTACAGAAGAGTTTCAATTCCCCAATTTCATACTTAATCAAGGCTGCTGTGTCTGCCTCCCCAAAATTAGTCATCATCCTAAGGCACTGTTAAAATCTTTATTTATACGGACATAGGAATTAACCAATGGGAAAAGACCAGTTGGCCCAACAAGCTTGTCTCATTCTCACAATAAATAGAGCATCATGACTAAACACTTTCTCTCTTACTCCTGTATATCGTTTCTTCCTTCTGTTAACTATTGGCGGCACAGTCTAAAGCTCATGGTCCTACTATGTCTCCAAAGTGTCTACTTCATGCCTTTCTTTTGAAAAGTCTCTTTGCTACTGTCCTTCCATTACTTGTTTCCATTATATTTTATAATCTGTAAAGCACCTTAGGATATTTTGCACGTTAGAGATGCATCATAAATGTCATTGTTCTTCAGAAGAATTGCTAATACAGAAACTTTACATCTTACATATAACACCAAAAGTACTATGAGTTGCTTTAAAAAAGTATTAATTACTTACCAATCTGTGAAAACACAATATCAAGAAGAACAAATATTCTGATGCCAAGATATCCATGTTCTTGTACTAAAACAGTCCCAAAATTTTAATTAGAGATAGTAAGAGCTGCTGATGCTGGAGTCAGAGATAACACTGTGTGGAGCTGGGAAAAATTTCTGAAAAAGGTTCCCGACCAGAAACGTCAGCTTTCCTGCTCCTTTGATGCTGCCTGGTCTGCTGTGTTCCTCCAGCACGACATTTTAATCAATTTGTTTTTGGAGATATATATTCCTGGCGATTTACTTACCCAATAATTGGAAGACATCCAGTTGCCATTGCAGCAACGAAAGCTCCCTCCGAGCAGCTGGGACATATAAGCAGATAGTGTCTCAGCAAACCTCACATCACTACATCACAAAGGGAATCAAGAGGGTATTGCTTTACCTTCAGAGAAAAACAGTCAAATCAAATGCAAGGGGTCCGACAAGTAGACACATTCCCCAACATTCTGCCATAATCCCTATTGATGGTAATAGTGGACTGTTAAGATCTCAGATGATACCCGGCTTAACAGATATTGACTTTTAACAGTTGATTAATGTGGTGGTTTGTCACTAAAACACATTCATGCAAAGCTGCAGCTGTTCTTTAACAACAGAACGTATGTTTATTACATAAATGAAGAAATAAACAAATAAAACTATATATAGAAAAGCTTATTAAATCATTACTTAACTGACTTTCCTCAGTACTTTTTTTCTGGGACTGTGGAGACAATTTTATAATTCTTTTCTGTGTCTGCTATCATGAACCTCTCACAATTCTGATGACCTAAACCTTCTCATTTGAACAATTTGAAGACTTCTTTCCAAACCCTCCTAACTCAGAAGCTCCACAGACTAGAAACTACTTCTGCAGAGGTGACTGGTTCCCCTAAACTGAACACTTGGACATAGAGCAGTTTTTCCGCTGCCTCCGCCTCCACGCTTACTTCTTCAACCGTGAACCTAACCCTCCCTCTACTGACCCCTTCTCCCGCTTCCAACACACCCCCTCCTCCTGGACACCACCCCAAGGCCTCCTACCCTCCCTTGACCTCTTCATCTCCAACTGCCGTACAGACATCAATTGCCTCAACCTCTCCACCCCTCTCACCCACTCCAACCTCTCCCCCGCAGAACGTGCAGCCCTCCGCTCCAATCCCAACCTCACCACAAAACCCGCGGACAAGGGAGGCGCCATTGTAGTATGGCGCACTGACCTCTACATCGCCAAGGCCAGACGCCAACTCTCCGACACCTCCTCCTACCGCCCCCTTGATCATGACCCCACCCCTGAGCACCAAGCCATCATCTCCCAAACCATCCACAACCTCATCACCTCAGGTGACCTCCCACCCACGGCCTCCAACCTCATTGTTCCCCAACCCCGCACTGCCCGCTTCTATCTCCTTCCCAAAATCCACAAACCTGAGTGACCTGGTCGACCCATTGTCTCCGTCTGCTCCTGCCCCACCGAACTGATCTCCAACTATCTCGACTCCATTTTCTCCCCCTTGGTCCAGGAACTCCCTACCTATGTCTGTGACACCACCCACGCCCTCCACCTCCTCCAGAACTTCCAATTCCCTGGTCCCCAACACCTCATCTTTACCATGGACGTCCAGTCCCTCTACACCTGCATTCCCCATGCAGATGGCCTAAAGGCCCTCTGCTTCTTCCTGTCCCGCAGGCCCGACCAGTCCCCCTCCACTGACACCCTCATCCGCTTAGCCGAACTCGTCCTCACACTCAACAACTTCTCTTTCAATTCCTCCCACTTCCTACAGACAAAGGGGGTGGCCATGGGTACCCGCATGGGCCCAAGCTACGCCTGCCTCTTTGTAGGTTACGTGGAACAATCCCTCTTCCGTACCTACACCGGCCCTAAACCCCACCTCTTCCTCCGTTACATTGATGACTGTATCGG